GTTGAGTTCCACGTCATAACACAATACGACCTATCATTCATTGGGCATATAAAAAGTAAAATAGACCTTCATCAAAACATGAATAACCTTATATCACGATGTTTACCACTGTTACACACATTTAACACACTGTGGCCTTGAAAGGGGCCAAGACTATTCACATGAACAAATTTAATATCATTAAGTCCATGAAACCAGACATATATACGTGTTATATACGTCTCTGATGAAACTTACTGGACTTTTTGATGATGTAAGCTTTAATACATTAGACCCATGTAACATGTAAGTGATGTCAATGTCATTCATTTAATCAAAGTGATAGTCCTCCTTCTCAGTAATAGACAGCAAATATCGTGACCACATGTACAGACTCCTTTGATATACGAAGATGGAGTCAGTTGAAAAGAAAAGAGGACACCACACCGGGACAAACCTGGACCATCACACAGCTACCTTTGTCTGCCTTACAGAGAGAAACTATAGGTGATCACAAAACACCTTAATTATACAGGCACACCTATATTCATCATGTTTATATAGCATTAGGCCACCGGAAGAGATTCATAGTTTCAATGGAAGTGTCCAAAAATCATTTCAATGTTGTTGATTAATAAAAACAAAGGAAGCAGCAGGTTTCACAAAATATCACCTACCTATTAATCAAGTGTAAGCGTGCCATGGATTTCACCAGACATGTTGTACACACTCTCCTTTAACCATGACTGGTAACCAGCAAGGAGGGTGTCGCTTTGATTCAAATATGAACCAAATACGTTAATGGTTGTTAATGAATTAACTTTGACCTTAAACTTTGACTGATGACTACCAAACTATACCTAGGTGTAGACCTTAGTGAGGTGACGCTATTGAATGAATATGAACTAAATATATCCGTGGGTTCATGAGATATCTTCTACACAAAGTCGTCATGGAAATACAATCGCACATACACACGGACAAAGTGATAACAGTATATAATTCCTTACTTCAGTGAACTGATATAATAAAAGATGTTTTATGTTGGATCTTTGGTCCTGGTTACTCAAAAGTTAGAAAACCACTTTCTGTCAATAGCACCATAGGAACTTGGGAAGTTCTAATTGTTTTAGTATGGCATCCTTTTAGGCCATGTCCAATTTCAAACTAACCTGCAAAAATAAGAACTTGCAGAAAGAACCGCCACAGGATTATTTTGGCAAGTCTCAGCTTAATCCTCATGGAAGAACTTTAAAGTTTCAAGGACGTTTAAAGTAAGAGTTGATTACGGAAACCAGAAATGCACAGCTATGATACAAAATTGCAGCCATGGCTGAAAAATAACAACACTTTGTCAGCTTCCCTTCCTTTACATTACAAACAATTTTCAGGTCAATGACACCAGCGAACTTGACAGAAGAAGTTTCAATCACGAATTTCAAGAAGGCTGCCAATGTTGCCATATTGGGTATAAAACCAGCCAGAAAAATAACTTCACTTCAGATGTAGTTTCAAAATGTAAATAGATTACCTATAGCACAAGACGACTAATGAAACATGATGGCATTTGGTTCCTTTGGGACCCTTTAGGGAGGGATGACTTAACAAGGGACCCAAAGGCCTTAAAGGTTACCTAGGTGACAGTGCTTCTTCTAACATGTAAGAGAAACAATTTTGTTACAACAGTAATATAACTTTTAAATTTTTTTTCTCAAGTTTTAACTATTTATGAAAGAAAATAAACAAATTATGCTCAAAAAGTAATTTTCCTATATGACATATAGTAAATTTTACCCTGTCCCCAAGGGCAAATGTGAGACCCTGGGGTCAGGAAATTCACAATTTTGGAAAAGCACCATAAGACACTTCCATCAATGAAGGATATTAAGTTCTCCTGGTATTAAGAAATTTTTAAAATGTCAGCCAATTAGACCTATATTTGGCCCCATTGGGGTCAGCTGAGGTCAATATGTGCATCTCATTAAACTGTATCTTAAACTAATAAATATATCCAGGTTTGAACTATTTCCATTAGAAAATAAACAAATGATGTTAAAAATTGTGATTTTCCATTACAAACTATAGTAAACTTTACCCCCTCCCCAAATACGAGACACTGGGGTCATGAAATTTACAATTTGGGTAAAAGCATCTGATGGAAGGCCTTTCCATCCCCGAAGAACAGTTGATTCTACCATACCTGGGATTTGAGAAGATTTTTGAAATTTCAATCAATTTTGCCCACGCCCCTCTGCCAATGGGGGTTGGAGACCACATAATTTACAATTTTGGTTCACCTTCAGCCCAGGAAGTTTTCGTGAAATTTCTTTGAAATCAGTTCTGTAGTTTTCCAGAAGAAGTTGAAAAAACTAAAGGTTTATGATGCATAATGCTGGACAAAAGGGGATCGCATTAGGTCAACCTGAGACTTTGTATCAGGTGATCTTAAAAGTGTTATCATAACCATGAACAGAAAAAAAATAACAACTTTATATAAAAAAATATTTTTTTATCATTAAAACAGCAAACATGTTCTAGACATCAAAATGATTAATAAATAAAACACTTTATACACATTCAATGCTAAATCTAGGTATCATCCTTACAACCTCACTTTAGAAGTACATATGTACTTTTCTATTGTGGGGAAAAAAAAGAAAATTGGAATTGTCACATTAGTGCTTCAAGTTAATAGAAGCAAGTTTTCAGGAGGAAAAAAATTTGACGAAAGAAGGTTTTTACTTCCAACCAGGTTACTACCTGACTAAGGATTATCAGCAAAGGGTTCACTGTTTCTCCTAAAACCTACATGTAGCAAGTCTGTCAATACTTAAAAGCGCTGCCTACTCATTGGTAAACAGTTGACATTTGCTGATTGTAATTTGCCGGTAAGACATGCTGGGACAATTAGATTTACCAGGCTTAGTGTTGACAGTTGAGTGGCAAACTATTGCTTCATCCAATCTCTATCTTGAAATAAAAAGCAGTGGCTTACATACATAGATATCCCAACTGCTTGATCTTTTATTTTTAAACTAAATCTTTTCAGGTTTTCATGATGAGATATCGATGTGCATAAGCTTTTTAGTTCAAAAGGGACAAATGGAACCTTTGACCTTTAACCTTGACAAGAGATCTACAAAAGCTGAAATATGAAATGGTGTAGACCTACATGATGTGTAATCATGATGTGAAAATGACTTAAATTTTCACAGGGGCTCACAAGATATCTGTTATATATTTCAAAAGTGTTCAATTTCGCAATGACCTCCAAAATCTTTATTGTAAAAATGCCATGACAGGTTCATGAAATGTCTCTTACACATGTCTTCAATTCCAAATGTGTTAAAGTTACTATTGACCTCCGAAATCTTTATTGTAAAACACCATGAGATTTTCATGAAACATCTTTTACACAAACATTTTTTATTTCGAAAATAGGAAAGGTGTGACTTTTGACCTTATATCTGAGTTTAAAATTTTCACTAATAGGGTCATATAACAGTTGTTTTACCTGTCTATAGTCAAAGTTAGCTCCCCTTGGAACTACAATCACTGCACTAAAATATCCCCCTGAAAATGTTTTTACATGTATAATCCGTACACATTGGGGGAAATAGTAATGTTGATTTCAGAGGTACAAATCAATATTGTGTCACTTAAAATCAAAATGGACAAAAAAAGAGAGAAGAAAATGAATTTTCTAGTGCAAATTCTACATGTGAAAAATAATTGAAATTGTTCCTGTACCATAATGCCTTAAGTGAAAAATTATATCAGAAAAAGAACAAAGTAAGATTATCACAACACTCAAAAATTGAGAAAAAAAGAAGATGATTAATACAATATCTCAATAATTTTCCAATAACACAACTGTTTGTAAAGTCGTTATAAACAGAATATTTGATTGTCTTAAAAAAACTGACATGCAAAATATAATGATGTTTAATGTACAAAAAGATAATGCTGGTGTTTTTGTTGATTTCTCGATAAATAAATTAAAATCTGTCTGAATACGTAAATAACTTCTGTAGTTAAAAAGGGAAAACAATGTTACAGGTACAATTAAAGTTTTTCAGAATCTTCAGTACTTTTTGCATGTTTTCAATTCAATTCCTGGACAGAGGAAAGGCCAATACTTTACATTTCAAGGGAGGTAACGCTTAAAACAAGAGGTCCATTGGAACATCATTGTTCACATGGCTAATTCAGCTATTCAGTCATTTCACAAAGAATTTCAAATGTGACAAACAATTTCTAAAATTACATGGTATTTCCCTAATGTGTCTAGGCCATGTGGTAAAACAGAAGTCAGATTCACCATTCATAAAAATTGCTTCACACTAAACAATATCCTTGTACAGGTGATGGTTTTTAAGAACCTATATTTCGAATATTGGGCCCTACATCTTCAATGTCATACTCCTGGTTGATACAAAATTATATTCATTTCAAGTAGATATGCTTCAGACCAAATTACAACAGAATCCTGATATTTCAATAGAAGAAAAATGATTTTAAATCTTTCTCTGTTTCTCTTTTTGGGTCCCCTTCCTTCCATCCTTCGGGACTGCGGTCCAGTATCTATATACCTGGTATAATTATTTTTCCTTCAACCAGAATACTTCTGACCAACTGCAAAATCGAATCATTTCTATAGGAGGAGGAGAAGGATGTGAAAGAATTTGTTTTATTTCCCCTATTTTGCCAAGCCCCTCCTCCCCAAGAGGTACAAGACCCACAGTGCCTTATATATCTCTTTGCAATAAGAGTTCCAGATGAAGAAACCTAAAACAGTATAATACTAATTAGACATCCCTACTTGAGCTTTAAAGACTGGTTATCCATGGATTATCAGCATCAGTAATGTGTAATGTTAAAAGAAATAGTAATAGTTTGATTTTAGCGGAAATGTTACTATCAGGAAAATTTACATTTTTTAAAAAATGTTAATTTTCCCGATTGTAACATTTTCCAATAAATTTGCTAAAAATTTTGAAAATAAGGAACAGACAAATCACCAATATGTTAAGTATATTTTAACAGTTTACAGATTTCAATACATTTGAAAATACATCCTTTTGAACATGTACATGTAAATATTCATTAAAAATAGTTCAAGTATCATAACTACCTGGAAGTCAGCTCTGGGGTCAACATATTACTTCTTCCCGAGTTATAGGAACTGGTTGTTTACAGATAGAAATTTCTGTATTTGTTTATTGAAAAGCAATTTATAAAGGCTGACCAAGTACCTTACATGTGTTTAAATTACATGACAGACATGTTTTATATTATTTGTTTTTTGTGAATATTCTACTACGTGCACATCCTGGCACATATCCATCACGACAAGCTCTTGCACAACTTCTTCGCTTCCTAAACTGTCTCATTCTCGAACACATTTCAAATCGAACAGATGTATCACTGAGGTATTCTGTATCACTTTGTCTGTTAATGTTTGTACTTTGACTTTCTTCCCCATTTCCTATCACAGCCTCACACAAATGACTGTTACACTCCTCCGGACACAAAAAATCCCTATTTTCAATATTTAAGGTTTTATCAGGTGTATTTTCTTTACCAATTTTAACTGTATCAGACTCAAAACAATTACTAAGTTTATCTCCATTGTCTTCATGTGGTTTAGAGTCGCACAACTCTGGAAATATAAAGGAATTTTGATGACTTGAACATTCAAAGTATGAATTATCTCCCTTTTTTTCTTTAGTATCAGTGGCTGATATTCCGTCCATATAATGTCTGTACCACAGTTTTTTCGGAGATTTAAGGTAACGCTGTTCTTCTTCAGTCAAAGGAATATTTTGCTGATTTAGTACAGATGTACTTATATCCTGCAGGTTTAACACATTCATGCTTGATTTGAATGGCAAGACATCAGATTTGGGTGTTAATTCAGGATTCTTGGAGTCCAATATATCATTCGTATTAAATCCTTTAGAACTAGCACTAATGGAGTCATGTGAATTTTTCAAACTTTCTGTTGACCAAACTCCTTCTTCACTAGTAATTTCACTGAAACTCGAACAGCTTCGATCATTTTTTACATTCATCATATTATGATATTCACTAAAATTTGGGTTGGGAGAAATACTATCTGTATGGATTTCATACATAGAACATTCATTTTCCTCCAAACTAGATACAGTTTGAGTACAAATATCTGTACTAACCAAATCAGCTTCGTAATATTTCTCAGCATCAGCATTATCAAAAATATCCCTGGAGTTTTGCTGTCGGTCATGGTATTCCCGAAACAGCACTTTTGTTTTATCTGAGAATTTGTGCATGATGTTTGTTTCAAAAGGCTGAACCCGAGCACAAGTGTCGAATTTGTCAATATTTACATGGGTATCACATACATCTTCAGACGATTCATCTTCCGCTCCTGAACTACACATAGCAGTCGGATTTATGGCATTGTCTAACAGCGGCCCGGCTGATACTGAGAGGATTGTTTGTTGATTTTTAGATTCCAATTGCATGCTTTGACAAGATTCTGAAGTCCTTGAAACATTCTGATCCAAATCTGTAGTAGAGATACTGATAATAGGTGACTCTGATTTGTTTCCGTAGCTATCAAAATCTACACCAGATTCATTACGAACAGCTGAATTTTCCATATCCTTAACAACATCTGGTTGTTGCCCGCTTCCTTTAAAAGAGTCATCTGCATGCATATATATTGCCTTATCCATATTACAACTTAACTGGATTTCCAGATTTTGTGAACCTGCATCCCTTTCAAAAACTGTTGTAGGGCACACTTGCTCACTCTGATTCAATATATCATTTTCAGATCTTGTCAAATCTTGACCCTTAATTTTGTGAAAATCTTGAAAAGGAACTGACCTAGCACACACACTATTTTCCAGAGAACAATCCTGATACATTTTTTCATCAAGTTTGCATTGAAGAAAATTCTGATAAGATATCTGCCTAGCACAGTAGTCATGATATTTTGTCCCGACTAACGACGAACTGGAGGAGTTTGTGTCAGTATCAACAACATTAGTGATTCCTGTTACCATGTCATCAGCAAATGATCCTACAAAGTTACAAGTTGACATGACGTTTTTTGGTAACGTTTCTTGTGGCTCGGTCTGATACTGCTTACATCCCAAGTCTGGTTTCCTTGAAAAACTTATATTATCATGTTCACTAGTGTACATTGATGTATGGACTACATTTTGACTTTGTGAACATCTATCATCTACAGAAGTGCCATCAAAATGCTTATCTGTCAATTCATTTACCCAAATATCTGACTCCATAATATTCTGATTAAATTTATATTTTGTAAATGTTCCGTTATTTACATCCTCTCCGACTGTTTCTGATGTAACAACAGGCCTACACTCCTCACCATTATCTGAGGAAGTAGAACATCGTCTAAATATAGTAACTTCAACACAATTATCATCACTAATGCTTCTCAATGAAGATATTGTACATTCATTTGAGACAGAAACTTTTTCATGTTTCTTGACATCACAATCAACCTTAGTTACTGATTTTTCCAATATGTCCCCTCTATCTCCAAATTCAACAGGACTCATTGACAAATCCCATCCTGTTTGTTCTGTTGTTGGCTGTAATACACTATATTCCTGAGTGGAACAAACATCATAACGGTTTGATTTACTACCATTTTCAATGAAATCTTCATGCCGTTCATCAACACAAAAAGCCCCCCTTGATATTTTCAGTGGTGATTTGACTGGATCAGTGGACAAAAGCCCCACATTATTCTGACAATCAGAACCTTGATCGTAACACGATCCTGAAACTGTTGATTGACCTGGCACTGTGTCAGCTGATGAAGCCACAGACTTTGACACATTTACAGACTGGAGTTGTTCCACCTGCAAATAATCAGACACATATTTACTGGTGTTAATGTTTCCAACAGATGTCATTCCACTAATTTCCTTCCTATCGTTAGTGGACATTGACCTCATCATTTCAGGTGATGATTTATGACTCGTAATCTTGTCCACAGACAGTGGGGAAGTGTTCTTGATATGACCTGTCGTATCTTTTTCACCTCTTAACTCCACTTGTTGGTCCACTGTTCCACATTCTACATCTGATATTTCAGTACAAGTTTTTATAGTAGAATTCTGAGTTTCCACAGCATTTTCTTGGCTTGTTCCATAGATATTTCTAGACATGTCATTTTCTAGTTTTTGATGTCTTGCCAAATTTAAAAGGGCACAAAGCGGGAGAGTTCTACAAGACTGTTTATATAAAACCAACGGTTCACTTTCATCATCAGAACTAACACTGTTATCTGAATCAGTTTCATTTCTACCATCACGTTCATAACACTCTTCCTCACTATAAACCTGTAGTTCATGAGACAATTGTCTACTCACACTACTTTCTATCACAGTTTTCCCATTTTGTAATGGCTGAGTCGAAGGCACTTTGTCATTACTAGATAAAGTCTGTTTATCTTCTACTTCTCTACTATAAGATCCTGGCACTAAAGCATCTTTATTGCTTGAATCGGAATTTACACAACCATCAAAAGTTCTGGACGGTTGTGTAGGAATTTGATTTGGAGCACTCTTAACTCTATCCTGTTCTTCTACTAAACAGTTGTCTCCCTTGCTGTCTGTTCCCTGTGTGACTTGCTGTACTGTCTGCTTACCCTGATGTGGGAATATTTCCGAGTGTATATTATTTTTTTTATCTTGATTCCTAGAAAGGTCCTTTCTGCCTCTTGGCCCAATGTTGTTGTAACTTTCCAATCTTAAGTCAATTCCTGATCCTTCATTATTATCAAGCTTTTGATTGCCAACTTCTGTTGTTTTTGTATCATACATTTGCGCAGCCTGACAAACTGCTGGATGAGAATTTAAGTTTGAATTTGTATCCAACACAGATTTCTCTTTCAAAATTGTATCTTTGCTAGGGGAGGCAAATGTCGTATTTTGTCTGTCATCAAACAAATTACATACAAGTTCCTCATTTTCACAGCTACATTTGCTTGTAAATGTATCACTTCCCAAACTAGACTTTAAACTGTCATCTTTCACTTCAGGGATATTTCTCCTGAAACTATTTCCTTTAAACACCTGTTGAGATACGCATGCCTTCAGCTCTGTTGATTTACAAACTTCAGTTCTTTTTTTCCTGACAAGCTGTCCGCGTCTGACATGAACTTTCCTCTGATGTCTTCTATCTGAACTCTCTAGTGACTTATCAAAACACTGTAACAATCCGCCATTTGTTTTTGGGTTGGGATCCACTGTGCTTAGGTATGCTGAATCATTACTATGATTTGATTCACTGCCATCTTGAAATTTAACCTGAACACAAACATTTTTCAGTTTAAACTTTTCCTCGTCACATCTATCCACTCCCTTTTTCTTCTTAGTACATCTGGTTTCATAATTCTGTCCTCTTGATGTCACAGACTTTTTCTGAGTTTCTTGCAATTGTCTATTTGATGTCTTCACAATACTTGAACTTTCAGCTGTTTTTTCTCTAACATATTTTTTTGTGCTGAAAGTTTCTTTCTTACAGATTTTCTTATATTTTTTTGCACTCAATGTCAAGTATTCTTTGGCTCCATGTCTTGATAATGTCTCTAATATTTTTGAACATGTTGCATTCCCTTTTCTTTCGTTGCGGAAATCATTAAGAACTAAAGCACTTCCGTTATTGAATTCATCTACAGGAGAAACAATAGTACTTGAGCCTGGACCGCTCTGATCAGTTTGGACTTGGTCACATAATGCTGAATCAACACCAGAACTAGTGGCAGACTTCCACATATCAGAGATCGACAAACCTTTACAAGAATTATTTTCATTTATGATCCCAAAAATCATTTTCTTTTCTGAGTTCCCTCTTTTCTTTCTACTTTGTTGTTGATCAGATTCTGTTTTACTTGGAGTCTTTCTCACTAGCTTCACTTTCTGTCGATGTTTGGTGGAATGAATCAGAAGACATTTTACAGTAGTGAATTTTTTCCCACAAATCTTACAGGTATATGTTCCATCATCATCAATTTCATATTCTGAATTCTTTTTGAAGCGTAGACATGAGGCAATATCTGATGAACTACAAATGTTTCTAACAGTATTGGTTTCTTGTTTCTCAGGTTGACTATCTTCAGATGTCCATGATTTTGCTAAATCCTCTCGTCTCTTCCTCCCAAGCTTTCTATCAGTGTCACCTTTCCTGTCATTTTTACTCCTCGACAAACTGGTTTTAGGTTTTGAAGATTTCTGACTTAAATCTTTTAATTTTCTTTGTTTTTTCTTTGCTGGTTGATCTTCTTGACAATTTTCTTTTTTCTTTTTTGGAGATTTATTCATTGACTCAATACTTTTGGCTAAGATATTATCCAGTCTGTGTTCAGCATCTATATTGGTGTGGGTGTCATCTTGAAAAATATCAGATAGCTCTGAAGAGCTTCCTACCAGACTTGCATTATCATAAATAAAATTCCCCTGGTGGATGTTTCCGAACACTTCACGTCCGCCTTCACATTCTGCCAGGAGCTGCATTATTTCTAAAGATGTCTGTGATATCTCCTGCCTAGCTGGATCTTCCAGAAGATCCTGAGGATCAAAACCAACCTCATCCTCAGTGACTGGTATCACGTCTGCCTCCATTTTGATCTTAAAACAAAACTACAATGTCTTTCTATATATCAGTACCCTCAGCCCAGATCGGAACCCTCTAACAAGGTGATGTCTCTGTAGCCAAACACTGGTATCCATACAGTCTACCATCTTGGCCAAAATGTTGATGTCTGCAATTTAACAAAAATGTTTCTCATCATATAATAAAACAATATAATATATATAAAAGAATTTTTGTCATATTTATTTATTTTACCTGTAGTTTTAAAATTGGCTTCGTTCAGAAATTAAAAGGTCTACATTCCTTACTTTGCTCACCATCCTTATAAAAATAAAGGTTTTATCTTTCAATGAAATATACCCAATAACTGCAGCTTGACAGAGGTGATATGATCCCAAGAAAAAAGTAAAACAATTTATTAGCCGATATTTCAGTTCCAGTGAGCTAACAGTGCTACATGTGTGCACCATAAAAATGTGTTAAAAATGTGCAAACTAATTTTGGAAGAATGTAAATCAAATTAACCAATAGACACTGCTCTGTATTATCCTGCTTTAGGCTTATTACCAAGCAAGGACTTACTGCTGGATAAACTCCGGAAGTAATTTTATCTCTAGGTTTCTGAGCTAAGATTAGTAACAGATGACTATAAATATCCCTAGTCAAGTTTAATTTGGCAGGAACTAAATACAAATTTGTATAACATTGTCTAGAGTACAGGGGCCACATAAATAATTTAATGTTGAACAGAAATTACCATTTGTTATGCAATTTTTTGCGAAAAAAAAAACTTGAAAATTTGACTCGAAAATAATACCCTTACTAAAAATAAACATACCAAGGGAGGTAATTCTTGCTTCTTCAGCATCTTTAAACATCATGGGACAATGTTATATATCCTGAAAACAGAGAAAAACTTTTATCATTTTTTAAATATTGTTTGCTGGTTTAATAAAAACATTCTATTGTGAGTGTTGATGTCAACTGAAATCTTTCATTTACAAGTACCAAGATATAAATAATATAAGATACACACTTTTCTCTTTATCTTTTTTCCACTAGGCCTTGGCACAAATTCCTAACCAGCAGTCCATGTTTATGTGTCATAGTGACTGAAATAGGTAATTAGTTCAGATATGTTTTAGTTGTGCAAGCGTGCTTTAGTCTCAGACTAAAACGCAGCTAAAAAAGTTGAAGCAAAAGTTTGACAATTTGAAATAAACATGATAAAAAAAAAATATTGATGGATTAGTCAACTGAAGAATGACAGAGGTTAAAAGATCATAAAATACTAATAATAATCAACAAAACTTAAAATTACAAATTTAGTTTCTTCATTGTATAACCTATAATGCTTAACTTAAATTGTTTATGAATGCCTCATTTATGTATAACTGATGAAAAAAATCCAAAAGCCTACTTAATTTGTTGACTTTTTATTAGCATGGTAGACCACACTGATGGAAATATTTCAGGGACATCTCATCAGAACCATTCATATGTAGAAAAAATAACGAATAATAAGACAATTAATGCAACCACATAGGTTTTCATATATAAAAAGGTTTTTTTTATTTATTGTTCATCTGAGCACAAAATATATCTAACTGGATAACATTTTTTTACTCAGACTTAACTTTAAACATAAGTGTAAAGTGTTTATATATAGGTAAATTAAGAGCATTTTAAAATTTGTATATGTAGAGTTCCGTCAATGAAAATGTATTACAGTTTACACAGGCAAATTTAGTTGTGGTAGGATGCATTTGTGTTGTCGGGAAAACTAGTCTAACGATTGTTATAATGGAATGACGGAAGTTTTAAGCTTTTGGTACGGGATAGCCAGTAGGCTGGGTTTATGTACATTTAAGTAGCAACGCTAACTACGTAGTAATCATATTTCAGATAAACAACTAGACAACGAAATTGTGTCGTTATCACTGATAATATCCTGAGCGATTACTTCGTGTTTTTCAGTGACGATCTTATCCAGTTATCTAATGGATATTATTGAATGTGTTCTTGTGTATCCCCAGCTGAATTCCCAAAACCAAACTTCACTATCCAATTTATCGTTTACAGAACATGCGGATTTGGTAAATTATTTTTTTCTTTTCAGACGTCTTCTCTTACTTTTTCTGTGACATTTCAGATCAGTTATACATAACATTGTATTCAGCATCGTATTGAGGTATTCCATTCATTCTTCTTGAAGGCGCAAAATACAAACAAGTATAGACGGAAATGAAAGAAGTAGTACCAAAATCCAAAACGTATCCGGAAATGACGGAATTTATTTGTTTAAACTCAACATTCCATGTTTTCCAAAGTGACCTGACTAATCTTTGTTCAATTTTTTAAAATGATTAATCAGTGTAAAAAATAAGAAATACTAAAAATAAACAAAATAATATTAATAAAATAAATTAAATTCAGACCATAGTAGAATTAAATTCCGAATCTTACCAGATGCTTGAAACGATATCTTAATCATGGCTGCCCGGTAAACAATATAACAAGTTATGTAGTTATTCATATCAATAACTTACCTGCTATCCAGCTAATTCCTCGGTGTAATATTTTGCGCCGTATATGTCACTAGTGTTATGTACCCTGGAGCGTTTTTTACTGGCTACACAAGTCAGAAATAAGTGGTGACGTCATAATATGCACAATGACGTTCGGCCATGAATTGAAGATGGGACAACCAACTGACTGTCTCTGTTTGATTTCATCCATCACATTTTTACTTAAAACCCTGTCTATAGTGTTACGGTGACCTTTTTGATTGAGTCACGTAATAAAACGTAACTTAAATTTCATCCCCCCTCCAAATTTATGACATCATGTGAAAACTGTCCCTCGAAATTTAATTTTTGCTCTCGAACACTCCAAAAATAGATGAAAGATTCATGTCATATGACCTCACATGAAATAAGAAGAAATAAGAATCGTTTATTATCCAATATAAATATATTGCTTACGTGATTAACTTCTTTTGATTGTATCAGAGACACATATAATGGTATATACCTTCACTTTTATAGCCCGATACAGTAATTTTTGACAACGGGTTATGTTATATAATGATTTTAGCAATTTTTGTTTGTTTGTTTTTGTTTCACAGTCAAGAGGCTGGCGGCTGTGATTAAACGGAAGCACCAAAACAGACTGTTATCAACATGTTTAACGTCAGCTGGCTTGTTCGTTTTTATAACTTATAAGTGATAAGTCCCGAGAGAATGTTATCAACATGTTTAACGTCAGGTGACTTGTTGTACTTATAAGTGATAAAAAAAGAAGTTAGTTATTGGTTGTGTTAACGTTTTTCAATAAGTCTAATATTACAAAGTTACCAAGAATGTTCTCCAAGTTCAAACAGTCACAAGACTACTGTGAACTATAGGACCGAGGCAGAGTTCCGTCTATATTTAAGTCCGTGGTTGAATAAGGTTGATTTTTTATGACTGGTTTGATCAGTAATATATAAAAAAAATTTTGGATTGATATGGCTGGGAAGTTGGAGACATTCGAGAATTGTTCTTTGTATGCATTTAGTATTGAGTCGATGGAAAGTAAATTTTTTCACAACTTACTCTCTTTTCCAAAATATATTTCCTTTAACTTTTATGCTTTTCTGAAGTAGATGAATATAATAATGTATCTTCTCCGTTGACATCAGAGGCCTAAATAGTGTGTAGTTATTTATATAACAAACTTACGGATAAACATAGCTCGCTACCATCAACTGCTTCTATCACAATGATTAAAATTCCACAGTTCATAGAACTGAAGAATTATAAAATAGCTGTTTACATGTGACATCACGAAAAGAACCTGACGCACTTGTATAAACGTTCCTGATAAAAGATTGATGATGTTAACTAAAACATTCACATAATGTCTTACATGTATGGTAACAATCTCTACTGTGAAAGACCAGGTCATAAACAAAGATGAATGCAAATCATCCGCAGAGCTCATGGAAGGATTTGTTTGTTTGGTTTTTTTTTTTACTGTTTTTACGATTCCTGCTGATATTTTTTTTTATTAAATAATTTTAACTGCACTTTGAAAAAAAAACTTCATCGAAACTAAATGCAGAAAAAATGAAAAAAATGGCCGACTACTCTTTGCTTTGAGAGATATGCGTATATAGATCTCACATCCCGATTCTTAGCAGAATTTTGTCTATATTCCGGAATTTGAAATCCGGACAACACTTTTGTTTATTAGACGTAAAGCATCATTTCCCGTTTTCCACCTTTGTTGTTCGTGTGTAAACAAAGCTACAGCATAAAAATCGGTATAAACTACAAAATGGAGGATATAAATGTAAGTGTAGAGGTTGCTAAGGTTACCTTACTCATTTAACTAGCTAATGGACGCTATGCATGATGGCAGAAATGTTGATTTTGTCCAAATTTGTATTCCATATTTTCGAGTTTCCTGCTTCTCCGAGTTGGTTGCAGAATCAATTTCTGTAAATCACCCAGTTTCGTTTCAAAGTTTTTATGTTTTTAATGCCAAAATGATGTTGATATAAATTGTTACATGTTATTTACGTAATTGTGTATAACAACGCAATCAAACTTTACATGGTTAACCCATTTTAATCAGAAATCAAAGTTTGTTTGTAGCTTTGAACTATTGAATCAATTCTAAAATGATCCGTTTAAACGGTTGACATCGATAATTATCGAGGTCAGATTAATTATAAATATACATTTACGTTGTCCGTGTTTAAGTGATAGAATGTAATATTTCATGACAGTTAATAATTCTTCAACAACAGACTGAACGTGATAAGTGTGTCTGAATAGTTCTCGTGTGTAAATTAATTAGGTCACACGAAAGGTAACTCCGCCCACATATGATCCCAAATTCCTATTTCCATTTCAAAGTGAGTAAATCAACATCATTAAATAGTATGTGAGCATTTCTTCCAGTTTACAGGATATAACTTTTCACTATTTTTATTTATTTTTTTAGAAATCTAAGAAATAAATAAAATAATAAATAGAAAAAA